AGTAGAATCTCAATCAGTCTATCAATTGTCCCCAAACAATTCTGCAACAGTCTTGTAGCGTGCCTATATGCCCACTACCAAAAGAGGTTTTTTAAAACAAAGATCACACATAAATCTCAGGCTATTTGGTACAGGAGTATGCGAGTGCACAAAACAGACGGATACACGTACACCATGCATAACCCAAAACATTTCTTACGCCCATGTGAAGATAATGATCTTCAAAAGATCATTCATTGTGTGTATTCAAGTCTGCAACAATACACATCGTCCTAATGGGAACATACCCAATTAAATGGCAGCTTATCCACCAGTTTGTCAAGGAACCTCACCTAAAGCCACACTTGTCAACATTGTCATGGCGCAAAAGGTAGTCAGGAATTTTAGGGTTCATCCTCTGGGAAACATGAATATTGGTATAACATTTTCTGGCATCCCATCCGCCAGTTTGTTAAAGTATTTCACTCAAAACCACACATGTCAAAGATGTCATGCGGAAAAAGGATAAGCCAGAAATGTTAGGGGTTCATCCTCAGGGAACCATGACCATCAGTATAAAATGTCATGGCAGCCCATCCACTAGTTTCTCAAGGTACTTCACTTAAAACCAAAATGTCTACTTTGTCGTGGTGCAAAAAGAAAAGCCAGAGATGTTAAGATTCATCCTCTTGGAACTATATATGTCGTTATAAAAACTGATAAAGTCCCATCCTCCAGTTGGTTAAGGTATTTTACTCAAAACCAATTTTAACAATGCTGTAAAAGGAAAAGCCAGAAATGTTGCGGTTCATCCTATTAACCATTAAAGTCGACATAAAAAGACATGACATCCCATCCACTAGTTTGTTGAGGTATTTCGCTCAAAGTGTCAACGATGTCATGCTGCAAAAAGCCAGAAATGTTAGGGGTTTATCCTCAGGGAACCATGACCATCTGTATGAAATGTCATGGTAGCCCGTGCACTAGATTTCACTCAAAACTACAAATGTTAGGGTTCTTCTTTTGGGGACCATGCCAATCCATTCGGTAGTTGTTGAGATGTTTCAGCCTTGACCAAACTGGAGACACTGACATCCCTAAAGCCATGCTATAGCAGCCAACATTCGAGTTTACCCTGCCTATTGTCAACCCTGATATCCCTTCACATCTATCTGCTCTCATGAATCAACCCTGTATATTCAGTTCCCTAATGAATGCTAGGATATTCTCAGATGCCAGGCCTCAGAAGCAAACGTGACGTGATGAGTATCTCCCGGCTTGTTTTACAGTTATACTAACATGATGTCCTGTCAAGCTCAATGGAGATCATGTCCCTCCGCACCTAGAGGGTTAGTCTTCGGGCGCGGCACGTCTGCCACTCCCAGACATGCAAAACTCGATCCTGTCTGCATTGAACAATAAGCAACAACAGTTTATCCCACGGTGACAACATCATGGGAACGTGTTGCAATTTAGAACTCACTAAACCAGAAATGTTGAATACACCTTGCGGTACATTCAACTGCCTGATTCACCTTAGAAAAAAAAGGAAAGGACACAAGGATAGAAGGTTTTTGTTAAGCCCCTTGATGCTAATTTGTGGTATTGAGCTATATAAATAAGCCTTGACTTGACTTAATTAGCTTTTAAATGGTGTAGATGAGTTAAAACCTCAACCAGGCTCATAAGGTGTGTGAAGTAAAGAGAAAGTGGACTAAACACAACTAAGTAAATAGATGTCTTGACTTGATCATGACTTATCTAAATAATTGCCGTTAAATAACTTTTATTTAGTGCAGCGGTTCTCACTCCCTCTGGCCCGGTGCCTAAGATAACTGATCTGTTTCTGCTCCAAAGCGACGGCAGTCCTGTGATTAGTGGCGGCGCCAGAGTATTTTTGTTGGGTAATCCATGGTAGGGCTAACCCATGCAGTGGTGGGGCTCAAGTCAGTATTTGCAATGTAATTACATACACACTATATCGCCCCCCGTGTCAGTGAAACGCCACGCGTGAGGTTTAGATTATTTCCCTGTCTCAATCTAAATTGAACTGTATGAAATAAAAAGGCACATTTGTCTTGTAGTAAATAAAAAGGGCGACCTGGAGCCAATCCTGCAATTTCTCCACAGGTGAAAGAGTTGACATGCTGAAAACCCAACCCCTGCAGGGGGGTCTGGGGGGATTGTCCCCCAGGAGATTTTTTGAAATACTAACATCAAATACACATTCTCTCTTGAGAAGAGAATAAATAAATCTATTACTTCACGACATATTTAAAAAATGAATGGTATTTTTGTTTTTTGTTGATTTCTATCAACACGTAATGTTGTATCGATGTATATAGAGATGTACTACCGCAAAAGTATTCTCCGTCGGGACTTCCTGCAACAACACCACGCCGATATCTTGATTCTGAAGACATTATCAAAGATGTTCTATTGAGAAGACGATCACTACGTGACAAAAGTTTTCAAACCCGTTTCTGGTCTTCAGTATTTCCAGACAAGTGGCTGAAATCAATCTTACTAACTGCTGTCTGTGCAATTTACTCCGCGCGAGTTGGTGGACTTTATTTAGCTTACTTTAACATCATTTGTCATGGTTTTTATTTATTATTTATTTATTTATAGAAGGACCATGCATACAAAAACATTAATCTCAGCAAAGAGAAGAGATGCCAGATTATGGCTAATAGCTCATTTCCATCTGTGGTCCTCAGGCAGGTTCATAACAATCAATAAACAAATAATAGCATTGCATGATCTCTATCAGTCAAACAATTTAAAAACCTGATTTAAGTACAGCTCAATAAATTAATACATAGTCCACTTGAAATACACTTACATGATCTCGGTCACTCAAATAATTACAAAGCCCGATTTAAATACAGGTTACGAACATAATACTTAGTACACTTCAAATACACTTAAATAAAATATCTACGATATAGTACGACAATACAGTTCAAATTAAAGAAAAACTCAGATGACAGTGTAATTATTGTTGGCATGACTGGTTGCTTAATATCATTTTGTTTTGCACCATAGGAAAACGAGTTAAAATCAGTACAGGTTTTAAGTTCAACTGGAAGAGTATTCCAGTGCTTGATGGCCGTAAACGAAAATGCTGATGGTCCAAAGGCAGTGCGCCTCAGAGGGATGGTTAGATCTGCATTTGATGCAGATCTGGAGTTTCTGCAACTCTGCTCACAGCAAAACTGGGGCTAAGGTGGGGCTAAGCCATTTCTTGGTATGGCTATAGCCTACCCCAGCCATACCCTGGCGCCGCCACTGCCTGTGATCTTCCTTTACGAGCTGCACCTCTAGGTCAAACCCTGCTGCTTCACTCACAGCTCCACAAATGAAACATGCAAATTCAAACTATGGAGAATTCCCATAACTGTCAAGAAAAACGGGTTTCGCCTCCATTACAGGAAATGAAATATGAACACCGTGGAAGCTTTTGATTTCTGTAACACCCTGATGTGACAAAAGATTTGAAAAAAATACACGTTTTGTCCAAGTGCTGCTTCACTGTGTCGTTAAAAATACTAAATCTCTGGCAGCTTAAATTCAAGAGAGAAGACAAACGAGGAAGCGCTGATGACAATGAGAACAGATGTGTTTTTAATGGTTTAGGGAGAATAGTTGACGTTGAAAGACAAATTGTGCTTAATAACCGTGTCGGTTTAAGTGATTAGGGGGGAAAAGGACTATATAGATGAAAACAAAGCAGCTGTTCATACTGATCCGTTGTGTGGATAATTTTAAGTAAGATTACACTTTTTTTTCTAAATTCAAAACAGTAAAACTTTCCTCAAATTTGAAATTAGAGGATATTTGAGTAGGACGAATCCAGCAGATCTCTATAGATAGTCTAGTCAGAATATCTGTATAGGAGTGAAACAAAATTATGATTTTTATTTTCCCTAAGAAAAAAATGATACTAAAGCTATTTTTCTGTAAATTAAAATCATCAATAATTTAAAATATTACAGATTCACTTCAGCTTTTCTCTGTGAGTGAAAAAAAATCATGTTTAATTACTGGGGTAGGTAATTCACTTCAGAAACACTTGTTGTTATATTCCATGGAATGCTCTTAACATCCCGATAGCAATGAATATATTAAATGCTTTGACAATAAATACATAAAAAAATTCATCTGTGGAAGCCGTGGCGCTGTAAAAAGCACGACCAATCATCTGAGCCGGCCCGGCTAAAGTAACTGGATGGCCTACCCATAGATATATATATAAACACTAGATGGCTCAAGGGGGAGTTGCCAGCATAGCTCACCGGCGGCCATCTTGCCACAGTCAACAACTACTGCTACAGCTGTTGTGAGGTGAGTGATCTGCACAAAAATACTCTTAACTCGCTGAAATCTTGACTGATTTACAAACGATTACGTTATTAGCATGGCTATGATACAGGAGACAACAAGACATGTTAATGATTATAATTATAAGTATGCAGTATCATAACTACATCTTTGATGTTTATAACAAACCAAACCGTTTGAAAATTGAGCAATCTATGGTTATTTCAATAGTCCACCATAGACATAATGTTATGAATGAGCGAGCTGCCTGTGGCAAGATGGCCGCAATGTGGCAACGTCGGTGTCCATTGGCCAGCAGTGCGGGTGAGTCATCTAGTGTTTATATCTACTGGCCTACCTGCCTGTCAGCCTTCCATCTGTGCACAAACTTATCTCGTGCCCTCATTGGTCATGTGCGCGTTCGTTTGTGTTGGAGGAGGGGCTCTGTGAGGAGGCCTGAAGGAAGGGGCGGATTTCGACTGCGTACTTTCAAATTCTAGCGCACTCGAGCTGGTTTCTCCATTCTTACCTACCCTACCTTTAATAGGATACTTGTGCTTTTCCTTGTGACTTATTTTGTTATAAAAATAAACCCTCCCGAAAACAACTTGGTAAAACAGTGTCTGGGACAGTTGGAGCATATCAAAGAAATTACACAAAAAGACACAAACAAAAAAGACAGGAAGTGACATGCTCACCCTGGCGAAGTGCTCGGGGTCTCTCAGAAAGACGGTCCTCTCCTTAGCGATACTGTTGCTATGGTAGAACTCCACCAGCTCGTTGAGAGAGGAGAAGAGCTCGTCCCACACGTAGTACTGACAGCTGCGGTCCTGCAGCACCTTGAAGTGCTGAACATGGTCCCCATAACTGCAACACAAACACACAGAAGATTCAACTTAATCCTATTTTAAAGCATCTGGGCCCAAGAGTTCAACACTTTTAATCCCTATCTGATCAGATCAGATTTGGACTTTGGGGAGTTCAAAACCAAAAAACAGGATTAGGATCACTTTGATATCCGATCAGATCAGGAAATCCAATTCAAGCTTTAATCTGGATCAAATCTTCAAAACGGGTAGTTCAAACCGACAACACAGGATTGGGATCAATTTGATCCCAAACAACTGGATTATCCTGATCCCACCAGAGGGGTGGATTTCCAGTGGATTACCAGAGCAACATGTACTGTACCATTTATTTTAAAATATGTTTCAATTTAAATTAGATGGCAAAGTTTGTTAACTGAAATAATACACAATTTTTAGCCTTCATGGGAAATACATTTAATTTTTCCATTTTTTGCTCACGTTTGTGGCGGCCTATTTTGTTTTCAACCAAATGTTGATGACATAAATGTTTATGCTCATGAAAGTATCACAACAAAGATCGTCAATCACAAATGTAATTTAGATTAAATTAAAAATATCTTCAACAAAAAAAAAGTCCATCATCTGTCATCACCTTTCAAAAGTAATTGCGGACAATAGATGTCTCTGCAATGTGGTCTGTTGTCTTCCTTGTATTATTTTTCATGTCCACTAGATGGCGATCGGTAGGATTAAAGCACTGATATTCAGGATCTAGTCATCTTGAAAAATCGTAATCTGGATCAGGATCTCGATTCACAACATTACCCTACCCCTAACCCTAATCCTACCCCTCACACCAGATACTGACTGGTTTTCGGACCCCCCCAGACCCCCCCAATAAAGCAAAACTGCACGTTTCAGAGTGGCCTTTTATTGTGGCCAGCCTAAGGCACACCTGTGCAATAATCATGCTGTCTAATCAGCATCTTGATATGCCACACCTGTGAGGTGGGATGGATTATCTCGGCAAAGGAGAAGTGCTCACTATCACAGATTTTTTCAGATTTGTGAACAATATTTGAGAGAAATGGTTATTTTGTGTATATAGAAAATGTTTTAGATCTTTGAGTTCATCTCATGAAAAATGGGAGCAAAAACAAAAGTGTTGCGTTTATATTTTTGTTCAGTGTAGTTTTGTTGTGCATGTTAATGGTCTGTAAAGGCTAAAATCCCAAAGTTCCCTCCAGAGGGACTTTCTCTCCCACACACTCCCCCCCCCTTCCTGAAACACCTCGATTCATTTGTGGGATATAATCTGGTCTTTCTGTCCTTTTTGGACACATTACATTTCGACCAGATTTGGGTTCACAGCCACAGGCCGTTTCTCAATCGCGAGGATTCAAGGATGCTACGTCATCGAGTGCCGCCGAAGGACTGTTCCAATCTCCAGCATACTTGGAATTCCACCGAGGCCGCGTCCTTGGTTTGGGGGACATTTCGAGGCTGCACATGGGTAGACTTTGCGTCCTTAAAATCCCCACAATGCTTTGCGCACGGACCAATTTAAAAAACCCTTGCGGAGAATGGCTGAACCGACGCAGCACACATTTAAATGTAAGTATGTAGTGGCGTAGAACATGTGTTGGTAAATATGTTACTTTGTTACATTTGTTATCACCAAACATGTGTTCCGTGAAAGTAAAGCAAGTTCATAATTAGATAGACATCGTGAGGTATTTATTTTTGGTCCAGTTTATGTTGAAACCAGAGTGGCACACTTGTTAGTCTGTTCCATTCTTTTTCGTTTTCCGTAGCCATGGCTTGGAAGCAGGCCCGGTTCTACGGGGGTGCATAAGGGTGCATTGCACCCTCAGTTGAGTCGTTATGCACCCTCATTTGAAAAATGAAAAAAAAAAAAGTGAAAAATATTACATATATAATAAGAAGAAGAAGAAGAAGAAGAAGAAGAAGAAGAAGAATTTAGTTGAAATAAAATAAATTGTAATTGTGGTTAAATAACATTGTTTGCTGCATTTATTTGGTCAATTTAAATGGTAAGTAACGTTATTATGTCAGGTGTGCCGTGTGCGTGACCTGTGCCGCTGCGCGTTCGTTATTTGCAAAGTGCTTACACAGCAGTCAATGATGGACATCAGAAAATGGTTAAAACAACCAGCCCTAATCGCCAGCAGTAACACTGCATCTACTGCAGGTAATAACAGTTCAGATCATGGGGACATTACGTTACCCGCGGCCACTGTCGTGGACACTAACGCCTGACTCGCCGGCTTTGACCACCTCGCTCACGGAGGCGGAGCAGCCGCAGCCGTCTTCGTTGCCCCAAACACCGCCACCCCTCAGCGGCCCGCAAGTGCCAGAGGACCTCGGCAAAACAGAGCCTGCCCAGGTATATTAAAAAAAGTATCCAACTCGCCTGTACAGTGGGGTAAGGCGCTCATTTTGCAGCTCATGGTTTCAAAACAGAGATTGGCTGGAATATTCATGTCAAAAAGATGCCATCTTCTGCTATGCATGTAGACATTTCGGTTCAAGTAAGTTAGATGCCTTCACCACAACTGGCTACAACAACTGGCGCCATGCTCTTGTACGTGATAAGGGACTGGGAAGGCATGAATCAAGCAAAGAGCACATCCATAGATCTCTTAATGTTGCTCTCAAAGTGCACCAGATTGATGCTTTTAACTTCAATATTTAAAAAAAAAACTTCCCGGGAGACCATGCCCCCGGACCCCCTTAGAGGAGGTGAGGACCCTCCTAGAGGAGGTGAGGACCCCCCTAGAGGGTGTTGGGTCTACTCCCCACTTATAAAAATAGCACTTTACCACTGCACCCTCTCTAATCTCAGATGCACCCTGAGTCATTTTGTTCTGGAACCGGGCCTGCTTGGAAGTATACTTGCTTCGTTTCTGAAGGAAGTGACTTGGAAGTACGCGACTACCAAGCCAGCATCTTCGCGATTGAGAAACGGCCACAGTCTTGAACTTTAGTCCTCAAAGCTTTAGCATTAGCTCCACAGCTGTCAGCTGTTGGAGCTGGCATGCATTGAGTGCAGTTCTGTTCATTTGCCTCACTGGAGCCACCACTTAATTCTCGTTTTATTTTTAATTTAAATTAAAACCTTTTAACCAATCAGACCAGGTCTGTAGTGAATAATCTGGCACAAACAGTATGAGAGTGGACACATTTACTACATTCTTGAAGAGAAACCCACGTTTATGCTAATTAGAATCCAAACTAATAAGTACAGAATGGAGGCAGTTATAGGAGTCACTTTTTGGTGTGTGTGAGTCATATTTAGACATTAAAAGAGCAGGAACTGACATTTAGGTGGTCTGCTCTGGTGGTCTGGGGGATTCTGTGCAAAGCAGGTGGTATCAAACATAATCCCCATTTATACATGACTCATTTTCACACAGTGTAATGTATTAGTTTGCATTTTGATGAGTACAGGTTTCCTAGAAGAAGAAAATAAGTGTGTATATATATATAAATATTAAATCAGTGGACAAAAATAGCCACAGTGTTAGAGTGCCTGCCTTGTTTTTATGATTAAAAGAGTTTGGCCAGTTTCCGTTGCCAATCACTGCTTCCCTATCCTGCTATGCGGTGGTTGCTTAGTAACTTGCCAGCTTATCTTTAGAAATCTGGACACCTCACCATGATCATACGGTTATATAACTGCCTCCGATATGCAGCGGAAGTCAATGCAACTCCTCCATCTTTCTAAACACATCACATTTGTGTGGGGCTCAAGTTAATGATGGCTAAGATTTAATATCCCATGTTTGGAGAATTCAGTTAAGGCGTGGTAACACTATAGTTTCTTTGATATGTTGGCATCATTTGTGTCCCGTAAAAGTTAATAGATTCAACGCCCTTGCTCACACAATATAGCGCTTGTGTTTTAACTTCTCTGAACTCCTCGCCTATCTAGTCGGACTGGCGCTGCTCCAAGCTTGGGAAAAGTAAATGAGCATCATCTTGTATTCAACAGAATTCCTTTCTCTATTCAGACGCCAAGATCTAAGCGACTCCCTGATGACTGCATGGCATTCAGCTGACACCTCCACCCTGCCCTTCTTCCTCCACCTGCTTCTCTGGTTCACCCTGTGTGTCCTTGTTTCCCTCGACTCACCCTTCGTCAGTCCCCCGGAAAATTATAAAACCGTATAAAAAAAGGATGCTTTCTTGCTGAAAACATTCATTCGAGCCAAATGTAAATGAACTTATTTTTGGATTGACACTGTACCCCTCTTTGTAGTCTTTGAACGCTCTCTGTGAGCAGCAGTTCTTTACCTTTGGGTCTCTCACTCTTCTCTATCATCTGACTTCTATTTATCTTTTCCCTCCCTATCGCAGTTCATCTTGTTATCTCCTCCTCTCTGTCTCCCTTTCCTCTCCTGATTCAGCCCTTTCCCTCCACTGAGTCACACACAACCAGGGGCGGACTGGGACTAAAATTCAGGTTTTACGTCCGACTCGCTCTTTTTCCCTCTCTGTACACAGCTCCAGTTTGATCATTGGCCTGTCATCAGATTTCATTTTTAGTTGCTGCTGTAGCGGAAGTTTAGTACAATTATTTTTGATGAAATACTCCAAATCTCCACCCTCCATAATTGCAGTTGCTTGCTACTTTTTAAGGGCGGTGTTACAGTTTCAGTACGAACTGAAGTTTATGCGATTTGATTGGATTAAACTAAACGAAGTGTTTTTATTTATTTATTAAAATTATAACTACAATCCAAAAAAACAGGGGAAGCCTGGCTTCCCTTGGCCTCCAGGAGAAAACGCCACTGAGTTCAAGGGATAATTCTCACCCACCTCTTGCTCTTGCCCTGCACTTGTACAGTGGGGCAAAAAAGTATTTAGTCAGCCACCAATTGTGCAAGTTCTCGCACTTAAAAAGATGAGAGAGGCCTGTAATTTTCATCCTAGGTGCACTTCAACTATGAGAGACAGAATGGGGGGAAAGAATCCAGGAAATCACATTGTAGGATTTTTAATGAATTCATTGGTAAATTCCTCGGTAAAATAAGT